AGCACTTCATGAAGTAACAAAATTAGGTCGCCAATCAGAGCGAAGGAAAATATCACAACCAATCAGAACTCGAAGCGAAAACAAGCAAATTGCTCAAAGCGCGGGAAAAAGTGGGTGGACTAGTCGCGACTGGTTTTAGTTTTGAATTTGATTGGTTTAGAGAGTGGCGCGAGCTCTCTCAGCCAATCAGAGAGCAAAGTGAAGGTTTACTTTCACCTTTATCACCTTTGTCTCAGTGATATGGCAAATACTTTTACAAATTTAGGATTCCGTTGCCCGTTACAAAACCGCTGGTTTTTGGGTTTTAGAGATATCGTTTCAGAAGTATTCAGGGAAGCACGTATAAATTCTAAACATTGTTTTTAAAACACAGCATATCCTAGAAAGAGAAGAAAACTGGATATCATGGAAGAACGAAGGGTGTCCAAGTTTCATTAAAGACAGGTAGCTTTTAAAGATAGTTATGTCATGCCAAAAGTGGCTGCCCTGTGTCAGTCATAGCTAACTTTATTTTCGTCATAGACAAACTGTTTCGGACGACTTCTCTCTCTGGACGCACCCAAATTAAGTAATCACTGCTTACAAACACTTTTTCATTCTTCAGTCAGGATGAAAACGCCGGGGGAGACGTCGATCAAGAAATCAATTTATTATTTCCCTAATTATTGTGCTAATTCTGCTAATGGCTGGATGTGTCAAGCGTCTCTTACGGCGTTACATCTCAACTTTAGCATAGCTTATGTGAGGAGCGTTGAGTTCCAAATGGAAACTTATTAAATAATTTGCCGTCGGGGTGCGCAAAATCAGGTGATTTCACGTTGTAGGGGATTGCTAAGAAATGCTGAGCAAAGTCGTCTCAAAAACGCACGTATTGAGCTATCGTTCCGCCCATTAGTTCGTCAAAGCAATACATCAGGTTGGCATCAAGGCAATAAATCAGTTTGCACGAATCAGACTTGCAACACTCGACTGACGGACAATTCCTTAATTGACACAACAACCAGGGTCCAGTGGACAGCGTTAACCGGGACCTGGAGGTCAACTTAGTAACCGAACCCCTGCTCACCTCCATGCACTCAACATAACACTCAGAGAAACCATAGTATGCAGAATGAATACTGTGCTGCATTATGGGAGAGAGGGAAGGATAGAAGTATGAAAGCTAGGGATGCAATCGAACAAGAGTGTATGGCAATACCAGGGGTTTCAATCATGTTTTCCATAAGCGGCTGCCGATGATATCGTAGGCGGCTGTGCCGTAAAGCGAAACTCAAAATAGCAGAGAGCCAGCTCGCAGGCTAAAGAGTCGGCGGAAGACGGCTGGAAACGTTTTTTTTTTAACCCCTGGGAAATACCCTTGCAAACTTGGAGCCCCCGCTCATGACCTTGCTGGGAATATTGCTTTGACTTTGCTTTCCTCTGCCTAAATAACCCCGTGCCCCTTTTAAGAATCCTGCGCAATTTTCACCCAGAAAGAGTGATCTTAGGTTGTTTGTTGTAGCGAATGCAAAAAGATTTTTTATATGAACGTGTACATTTATTTGGGAATATTTTCCTTGTGATGTATCTGACATTGTAATTCATTTTCAGAAGCCAAGATGAAGTGGCACCCAAACCCTCAAGGTGAAACTAAACTTCTTATACTTAGTCGAGTTTTCCTAGCTTGAGCAGTAGACTTTGAAGTAAAAAACACAAGAATTTATCGTGATTTACGCAATAATTCAAGCCTAATTCAGGCATTCAGCAAGCAAAACGGAGTGAAATAGTAAACGGCGCGACGAATAGTTAACGGTAGCAACAGAGTGAAAACCAGGGATGCTAAGGTTCATTACGCGACCCGACCCAGGCCGCCCTCATTTTTCTCATCCCTTCGTTACCATCGCTGTTCGTTTTACCTACCGAATGTCTTATACAAACTACAATGCAGTCGATTCCCCATAACCCGAATCTTCAAAGGAAATTGAAAAAGATACGAGTTAGCGGAAGTTGAAAACAAAGGGCCGGAAATGAAGGAAAACAGTGTTTGCAGTTTTTCTATTCATACAGTATACATATAATCAATTGAAATTTGTTATGGAGAGAAGTCGAGTGAAGTTGAGTTAAAATGGAGCACTAAATTACTGCAGAAATCACAACGTAACGGAAATGGTTTGGACTGCGGTACACTGTTTTGATTTGCCACGTATTGACAGACGTGGCTCGACGTTATTTGAGATGTAGAGGTTAAAAGTTGCAGAGATTGTAAGAAAGCGACAATTCGAGTGAGCGGGATGTTCGAGTTACCGAGGGTAAAACTGCAGTAGATGAATGATGGAAATGGTGGGGAAATCGATTTTGGTTCGAGTTAGCGCGAGGTTCGAGTTAGCGAGTGATTAAGTTACCGGAATTCGACTCTAGTTCTAAAAATCTCCCCTGAGTCTGACTACTTTTTCTTCTCTCAGATTTTCTTTTTCGCCAAGAACGTCCTTGGTATTCTTAGATAAATTTCTATTATAGAAAATGGAATTATGAGAAAGGGTTCCAACTTAATAATTTATAAATAGTTTGACAAATTTTACTTGACAATGTTCCCATGATTTCTGAACAGAAAGCGTAAAGTCAGTCTTGGGGAAGAGATGGCCTCAGGTTGGAAATCCAAAAAAGTGCTCATGGGAAGGTAAAGTGTACTTGTAAAACTGGTTATGATGGGATTATCTGTTTAATCCTTTTATCCTTATTAAAGAGTGACTGGCATCTGACATCTCCTTACAATATCACCCTTGAAGAAAGAAGAATTTGCTTTGGATCTTGGTGCGACTCCATGCAAAAGAGAAGCAATCACAGATCATTCAGACAAGAATGAAGGAAATAAGCACCAACTAATGAAAATTCTTGATTTTTTTAACAAGCTCTCCTAGTCAGCAGCTTGGGAAATGTGTAGTATAGAGAATGTTCTTATTAATGTTAGAGTGTAAAGTGTTGAAGAAGTATACCATAGAAACCGTTCAATTTTCATACATCCTGTTTAAAGTATATAGGAAAAATTCTAATTGGAAAGTAGTCGTTCGGCTGTCGACAGATGTATCGATCGAGAGCTACGTCGGTAAGTCACCGATACTTCACCGAGTATTGGTCGACTATCTAAAGAAGGAAACTGCGCAAACTCACTTCTCATCATATTTTTTTTCCTTGTTGCAGCAATGAGTTGACTCGTCTTTGGAATTTATGCCCGGACAATTTGGAGGCTTGCAAAGCCGATAACAGGTAACAGAGCATGAAACACATGTGCCGAGAAGCTGTTGTCGTGTCAGGGATATCTTAGCATATTTTCAAGCTGAAAGAGGCTTCTGTTTTATTTCAAATATTTGACCTGTTTTCTCATAAACTTTCAGAGTTTTTCTCCCAACTCTTGAGGAATATTTTTCGGAGGCCATAGAGCAAGCTGATCCAGCCGCTATGGTGGAAGAGGAGTACAAGTATGGATGTCCTTTGAAATTTTCACGCAGATATGTTTTCACTGCATTTAATTCAGCTGGTAATTTCATTACCAAGCTCAAAATTTCCCATCCTTCTCAACCCTGTGACCCCTGAGAGTGACTAGCATCTAATTTCTCCTTACAATATCTCCTATTAATCCCGCATTAAGGTTTCGAGAATAAAAGAAATGATCACCAACTAAAGGAAATCTTGATTGTTAAACTAAGTCTCCTTGTCAGCGCCCTTGTAAATGTATAGAGAACAGTATGGAGAATATGTATTTGGATGTTAGGATGTAAAGGGTGAATCATAAATTGCCAAACGAATCAAGGGATCATAAGAAATTTTGGGAAGCGTTGCGGGAATTATAGTTGTGTCTTGGACTGTTGATGGGTAATGAAGTAGGACTGTTTCCTTACTCTCAATCAAGAGTTCTTTCTTTCTCTTGCAGGGTTACAAAAAACAGTAACTTTGGTTGGCGAGGTAGGTTTTCTTCTCCAAACAGAGCAATTTTCAATTGAGTGTCGAAAGTAATCTGGGATTGCATTGGTTTTGCTTTACTTCGCTTTGTGATTGGTCCAGAAAACTCGCGTCATCCTATCGACCAGTCAGACGCAATCATGACTTGGTCGCCCGCGTTTTCCCGCGTTTTGGGCGGTTGGGTTCTTTGTGTTCTCATTGGCTCTTAGATGTATTTTCCTTCTGATTGGTTGTTGTGATTATTTTGGTTTTGGTTTATTGAAACTCAATCGAAAAGCGCTCTATTTCGACAAATTTGATGTTATGACCACCGATTTTTAAAATATTTTGCGGGGCATGATTAAGTCACTCCTCCATTAGTCCTTCCACTCTCAGGATCTCATTAGTAATTCTCCTTACTTTCTGCCATACAATATTAAGAATTATCGTTAATTACGTTCCACTTGCAGCATTGCGTCTCCTCGCTCGTAGAAGCCATCACTTTTTCCAGCCAAGCACCAACCCGTTCAAAACGCTTCCAGACTACCTTGAAAGTGTTGTACAACAACTTGCGCAAGAATTACCGGTAAGACGTCTAACTTCTGTTTGGTTTGTACTACTTCTAGACTCGGTTTTTTTTTTCTCTTAGCTTGTCGCATGAAAGACGTAAGTCGTATTTAGCTTTTTAACAAATTTGACCAACACACTTTTTTTTCGTCAATCACTCACACGAAATAAAATCCAAACTTAGCTTCTTCTCTGCATATTTTAATTATTCACAGAACTTAAAGACTGAGGAAGGCATCGTGGTTAATGGTGAGTGTCACATTAAACTAAACGCGAAGATTTTGTTTTTTTTTTGTCATATTCTTTTGTTGCAAAATATTTATTTTAAAAGATGATCTTCATCGCTTTTTTATTTCGCAAATGCATCCATATTTAAAGGGGTAGAGTACGAGAGAGAGAGTGGACAAAATTGACGAATGGGGCACTTGTCGATTTTTCTTCCATCGTTACGCTGTTTTTACGTCCGCGATAAGAAATGCCGTTTTGAGCACCAAATCATAGCGGTAAAAGCCGTCCTTCGCACGACAGAGAATTTATGTTACATCAGCGGATGTTATAGGAATTAGAGGCTTACTGGGTTGTTCCAATGCTCAAAAGGTACCTCCAATCACTTGAATGTTCCCTTGTCTTATAATTGGCACGGATAACCTGAAGTATATAGAAGAGCGGGCTACTCTCCTTCAAAAAGTCATTTTTGGAAACCCACAGAACTGCAAGATGTGTCTGTACTCGCTCGTTAACGGATTGAATTCATTGCAGGAACCTCGGACTCAGCCGTGCCTATCACGTGATGGCACCAAAAGGAAGTCACTGGCTTGTGTCAAGTGAAGACAGCATCACATCCGCAAGATATTATATCCATTTAATTCTCTCTTAATTGTAATTAAAGCTGTTTGCAAGACCAGACAACAGTTTCAGTAACTTGACTTCACTAATTTCGTCGACTGAAATATCCGCATTGATGTCGACGTAAGGGTAACGCAGTCTAACTCTGGGTGCCCTGTTTTACTGGATGGAAGCGAGTTAGGGAGCTTGCAGGCTCTACCCTCAAGTCTTCCTTCCCAGGCCCCGACTGCTTTGTAATCGTTCGCATTTCCGCTTGTCTCCAAGGATCGAGTTCCTTGCACGATTTTGCGTCGTCAGAATTCCTGTCTTTTTTCGACGCGTTCTCGTATAATCATGTGTCTAAGGTTTCAAAAGCGGAAAGCGGAACTTTTGTATTAAAATATGCTGTTGGGTTTTCAAAGAGAAAACGAGTGATATCTTTACGTGGGTGTTTCTTCTGTATGACAGATAAAGTTGACTGGTTCCTCCAATCAGGCAAATACTTACACCTAATTTATATCCCATGTCGCCACTTAAGATCATATTTCATCAAGAGTCATTTAGTATGCTTGCTTGAGGATAAGCCATCATTTATCGCCTTTGGGGGTGGGGGAGGGCGGATGATTTTGGGGGGAAAAACGGTTTTCAGGGGGTATGGAGGTCGACCAGTCGTCGCCAGTAGTGTATAATGGGGGAACTATAAAAAGTTGACTGTTAGTGAGGGGTGGGGGTGGGGGTGGGGTTATGGTAATGAGCAGAGCCTTATGGGGGAATCAGGTAGATTTCATCATGACACTGACATCTAAAATCCTCCAATACGTACGGCGGTAAATAATGAGGGAACTTTTCGAAAACAACTTCACTCCAAACATGAAAACATAGGCTATCCTCAGCAGTTTCTAGAACTTTTTTCCTCACACACTTTATGCAACCTCACTCAAACGCATTTTTACATCAGGCAGGTTAGTCGCTTTCCCTTGCCACGGAGCGGATAAAACTGCGAAAAAAATTGAAAATGAAATAAATCGAGGTTATTGATGGTGGCGGCCACTAATTTAGGATCGCTTTGCCGGCGCAAATGTCCGTGCATGACACTTTGCGGTTATAACCGAATATTTCACTATTTTATTTTGATCTTCGCATATTTGAATCAGGTTCAATTAGTTTTATGACGGTAAAATTTTGTCAATGTGACTTGAAAGTTCCGTCGTTAATTCGATAGTGTCGAAGATTTTCCTCTCAATTTGAATCAGATACGTGACTCTTACGTCAATGGAATTAGATTTGCCGTTGTGGACGCTGTCTTTCAAGACTGCGAGGGAATAAAGTGTCTATTGCGGAAATATTAGTTAGTTGTGATTCTAAACTGAGTGCTTTTCGTTTCGAACTCCGCTTTCCAATTAAATAATCTCAAATCCATTGAAATTGGAAGGTAATTTAATGTGCCGCAAAGTTATTTCGAATCATTCTCCTATCCGAGAATCAATAATTTTTGCTATTTACCCGAGAAATCCTTTTTAAAATACTGCTCTAAACTGTCAATCGCAGCATTCTCCAGTTTTCCCTGGAGGCGGCATTTCTGATGGCTTTAATCTTATCGTGCAATCTAACGAAGAAACGGCAGTAATTTTAATTTTTAATCACTTGAAATGTCTTAGAAAGACCGCCCCGGACATCGCTAACTCGGTATTTCAGTCATTAGTAAGTTGCTTTTCCCGCAGTCGCACGATTTAATTATACTTTACTTTAGAGCCAGCCATACACTCTTGAATTGTTTCCGTTTAAATCGAGTATATGCTTGTTATTTTCGGTCTAGATTGGTCAAGTTACAGAGAAGTGAACCTGCTCCTTCATCTGGGTTGAATTTGCCGACAAAAGGATGGCATGATCACCTTGGAGAAACTTGAGAGCTGAGAAACGATAAACCACGAATTTCATTGTTTGCATCACTTATTTACGGAACGTTTTATCGTATTGTTATCCTTCATCGAAGAATTCTGATGTGTGCAATAACTGCGATGTCTTTGGTGCTAAGTGAGCGTGGCATGAAATTATCCGTGTTCCGTGATCCGTGATAAAAGCGTGATAAGCGTACCCTTTACGTGATGAACTTTGGAGTTTTCGGAATAGCTTTGGCGTCCTTCTTATTTTTGGCACCAGGTCTCATCTTTTTAAATGTTGGATTTCGCTGCTCAAAGCTGTTTACGGCGAAAGCAGAAATAATGTCGAAGTCGTACTGTATGAAAGTAGACGAAGAATTTTCTTACGTTTTGATAGGCGGTGGCTTTATTTTCCTGTTTTTCTCTCTGGCTACAATGGTTTTCACGGTAATTGTATTTTTAAACTCGAGGCACTCGAAAAACGTTGAAGAGGAGACAGGCTCAACCGCGGAAACATATATCGTTTAAAATGCTGACTGAGTCGGATGGGAACCAGTAACCGCACGTATTGTGGCCAAATTGACAAATTGTTTATATGGCAAAACCCCAATTTTTTTATTTCATCGGCAAAGAGTTTTTAAGTTTGCGTAATCCATTTTACATTGTATCGGTCAAACATGACCGTTTTGTCACTGAACAGCAATGAGGAGAAAACTTACCGACAGTCTCTCTTTAGAAGCGATCTGTGAGCAATTCTGTTGTCACAATATTTTGATTGCTGTTGATTTGTACTATCGATATAATGTGAATTATTTTGCATGTGGCAGTGTTTTTTAGGCCTCTGCTATCCGTGACTACACAGATAACATCAAAATTTCTCTGCGATTTTTCTAAGCTAAGCTAACGCAGCCTCGCAACTTGTGTGAAAGTAAAGATAATTTTGTTTTATTGTTATCTAAAACGATGGCTCAATTTGGTTTGTTGAATTTTGAACATCCAATTATTTTTCGAAGTAATTCTCTTATGGCTTGAAAATTTTGATTTTAACGGGTTAGGGTTAGCTTTTTTATACTACTAAATTCTTCTATAAATTAAAACGTAGTTTGTTAGAGCAATGAAAGAAGCTTCAAGTACGCTCTTTGAATAAAGTAATTTATTAACTTCAATTTTTATCAATTTTCAAGTGGATTCTGAATCATAGGTTTTTTCCGCAACTCATTCATTTAAAAAACAATATTTGTTGTAAAATGAACTGATAAAAACAGATGTCATCTAAGATCTAAGAACAATACTCTCTTTTCGATTCTTTCTCCCTCTTTTCATACTCGGAAAGCTTTTTGAAAGCCGTATCCGGGGGAATTTTACTCAGAATAAGTGGAATTTCTGAGGGGTTTCCAATGAATCATGGGAGGGAACGAAAAAGTTCCGACAACCAACGCAGTTTA